AATTTTGGGAAGGCCTGGACTGCCTGTTTTTCCCCAGCAAAAACAGGATAACTGCTACAAGATAAACATGATGAATGAAAAGGTTGTGCAAAGCCAGCCCACTTGCCCTTCTTCCTTCCATGCCCTTTGCTAGAACACTACAAAGATTTTGCTTGTGCTTGTGCTTAAGGAAGCAAATGCTGAAAGGTGCTGAATACCTGCAAGTTCAATACGACTCATCTGTTAAAACCCTGAGATCTTGTGCTGTTTGTTCAGGCACATCCCGGCCTGCCAGCTACTGAGGGGTGCTAAACGGATTTTCAGTGGGAGTTGCGGTTGCTCAGCACCTCCATAGAGCTGGCATGTAAGTCCTGCCTGGACTTCTCTGATGGGAAAAGCAGATCCAGCCATCAGTCATATAGGGTGTGCTTCCCTCTGCTCTGTGAGCTGGCCTGGTGAAAATTCCTGGTGCTCATTAAAAGCATCATCTGATGTCACTCAACACCACGGGGGAAAATATACATCAAGGAGTAAGTATTCAGCACTCTCTCAGCGTTGGCCTAATGCGGTTCATGTCATCTGAGGGAAAGACTTCAGTTATTCCTTTTTACTGTTAGAGGCCCAAATCAAGGGCTGGGACTTGTAATTCTAGGTAGTGTGGAAAACAAGTGCTACCCATGAGATCGTCACAACCCAGATCAAGTTCCAGTTCCTCACAGCCCTGAGCACACACTACCAAGCATTAAGTCCAAAACCCCAGGAAGACAAGTGGGCAGGGCTGGGACCTGTGTGACTCAGTGCACAAACAACACCAAAGTGTCACAGGTGTGAAAACACAAACCTAAAAGCCAGGGAATGGCCCCGCTGCCAGCTCTGTGCTGGCCTCACACCTGACCAGGCCTGCTGTTGGGTTGTTGCTCTTGGAAGGGCAGGTGGAGGTGTTGCAGGCTGGCAGCCTGCTGAGCCCACTGAGGTGCGGGGAGAAGGCGTTCTTCAGCCAGCCAGATCCGATGGGAACATGCTGGGCTCTGGCGGTGTTGTGCTGACACAGGGAGATGTCATCTCCGTAGCATATGAAGGAGTCAACGCATGATGAAACATGGCCTTGTCAGTGGTGTAGACAAAGATTGTTTTGTTTGAAATGCAGCACCAGCAATGCTGGTTAGCGAGGTAATGCGGTCACCTTTCCCATCCAAGTCGTTATCTCTTCTGATGTGCTAGGTGCCATGCCTACCTAAGATGAAGCTCATAGATCGTTCTTTGCTTCAACGTCGAGCTTGGTTTGGTGGGTATTTCTGGATAATGGCTTAGCAGAATAGCAAGTGAAGGTGATAAGGAAAGCCCGTCCTGCACAAGAGGACAAATGCCAAGATACTGGGATGGTTTTAAGTTTAAGAAGTTTGGAAGAAATATATAAAATTGCAGAAGATGACTTGTTAGATTCCTGCCAGCCTTTGTGAGGTGAAAGCAATGAGGGGTCTGCCCCGTGCTTGCTCACATACACTGCTGAGGCTCAGTGTGCACAACTGCACAAGCAGTTTCAAAACCACTTTTAGCCAGTCCAGGCACTGCAGTTGTCCTTCCAAAAATAAAAGGCAAAATTTTCAACACCACGGAGGACTAATAAACCACCCACGCTCCTGCATCTGCTGAGATGTAGGGAGCGCAGAATCCCTTACGTCTCTGAAAGTCTTGCCACGTATCCACTTCTGATATCTGGCTCTGTAATCTGGGCTGGAACGCTTCAGTTGAAAGGTTTGCACTCAGCACTTCCCGGTCTGAGAGTCACATCGGCACTCAGTCAGCTCTGGCCTTTCCAGCTGAGCATTGGCCCCACAGGCCCTACTCTGCACAATGCTTTGGCACAAGCCTGGGAAAACCCTTCTCACGACACTGCTGAACTCATTTCTGAGCCCTGTGTGTTGCTGTGAGTAGGAGAGTTGCCTTGCTTTGCAGATACAAATGTAAGCCAAAGATGAGTGAGTATTTAAAATATTAAAGCAAATTCTCAGATTGTATTTCACTGGAACAAATAGGGCAATGCCAGCCTAGAGCACCTGAGGATCCAGGTCTAAAAAGGGAACTCAGAAATCTAATGAGACACAAATGAAGAAATAGGGAGCTATATGTTCATCCCTCCATTCTGCTTTGGCTATTGGTGTCATGGCACTCAAGCAGGGAGAAACTGAATGAAGCTCAGCAGCCCACTGGCACATAACCACCGTCCCCTCACCGATTCCTGTGGCACACTTTAACATGAAGTACTTAAAAAATGCTACGCCAAACCATCATTCCATGCTTCAGTTCCTCGTAAGCACCCCTGCTTCCCTGTTTGTTCCTGGATATGTATCTTAGCATCGCTGCTTTGGTAACTTTTCCATTTTAGGATGGTATTACAGAAGATAATGTGTTAAAGGACACAGCACTGCCATTTTCCCTCTCCTGAGTGATAACAAGCAGTTCTCAGAGATCAGCCTGAACTTCCCGGAGCAAGGAGAAACCCTGCACAGAGATTTGGGCAGTATTGACCCAAAGACCATAGCACTATTTGAATTTTAAGGATGTGCAATAATGTGCATCTACAGAAAGAGAGCTAAGAAATCCTGTGTATTTTGTGCTAAATTATGTTTTTTGATGAAGACAGAAGGCATCCCTTAGCTGCCCAATCATCCATTTTTGTGTGTTTTACCTTTAATAGGATTTCTGGTTCTTCTCACAAAGCCAGTGTTCATTCTCTGCCAAAGATATGTTTCTATATATTATAGTGACCTGTTGAAGATCCACCTACCTCCCTTTAAAACATAATGACAATTCCTATGGTCAGCAGGCACAGCATATCATGTCCAGATTCCTTTTTTTTTTCTTTTTTTTTTCTTTTTTTTTTTCTTTTTTTTTCAGAAATGGGCTCCTTGGGCAAATAATGAGCAAAATTTGTTCTGAGATCGTAGAATGGATTGTAGAAAGCTTACATTTTCTTTTCTTGGTCTGAGTGAAATTAAAGTGAATTAAATATTAAAAGACTTTAAAGAGAAACAAAAATCGAAGCAAACTGAAGGCAGATTTCTGAACACTGATAGTGCCAAGTGGCAGTGCTCTGTGGTGATTTCTGGCTTAGCTCCAGGGATCACTGGGTCACAGGCAGTTGTCACCTTCATGCAGTGGTATCCCAGAGGCCCAAATCTGGACGCAGCCCCTTGCATGGGCTCTGCTCACACAGCGTGGTCCTTCTTGTCATGATCTCCTCTGGCTTGTCAGCATGCCCTCCTGAGGTTTCCACACTCCCCGCCTTTCTCCCCTTTCCCATTCCACTCTATCTTCCTGCGTGGTGTGAAATAGAGAGGGTTGTAACCCAATTTCTCTTGCCCACCTGCCAACCTCTCCTTCTTTTGCAGACTGCTTCTGAGCCATCCCCTGCGGGGCGAGTGGAAGCCGCTGTCGGGAGCAGCGAGCAAAGCACCGAGCCAAGCACCGAGCCAACCCGACACATCTTCTCCTTCTCCTGGCTGAATTCCCTGACTGAATGAGGATCTGGAGGGGCCACCTGGGGTCAGCGCAGGAGCAGGCCCAGGAGGGGACACCTGAGCAGGTCATGCTCCCAGGAGCCCAAAACCTCCATCCACATCATACCCAGCCATGGAGACAGCAGTGTCCTAGAAGGGACGGGAGCGTGGGGACAAATGGCTGTACTTCTCTATGTAGTCAGAGTGTTTTCCAATAATTTCTTGTTTCTGAGGGAAAAATGGCATCACTACAGATGCAGGACAAGTACTCTTCACATTTTGTCATTCGTCTGCTTTTTGATGTGTCCCTGTGTGAGTGTAGCTGCTTCCCAGTCCCTCTGGCAGATGCTGCTGCAGTGCTCACCAGCAGCTCCCTGTACCCAGCAACACTGGAGATACGTCTGCGGCACCCCCGAGAGAGGGATGATGTTTGTCACCCGCGGTCCCCATGGCTTCCCATACTGGGGGAGGGAGAGGGAAACTGCCCCTTCTTTCTCCCTTTGCATCTACTTTCCCGAAGGGCCTTGCTCACCTGGGCGGGGGGTGGGAGGGGGGCCACGGCAGGAGGGGTGGGGACAGGCAAACCCCATCAGCATGGGGCAGATGTTGGGGTTACAGCAGAAGTTGAACCGTTGAGGTGATTCTTCTGACAAAATTCCTGTCTTAAAAGGAGTGCTCCTAGCGCGCTGAAGGTAACAGAGAGCTTGAGAGAGACGGGAGGAGCGCTCGGTACCAGAGCCGAGCCCTGAGCTGGGACTGTGGGCACGGGGCTGTGCGGGAGCGACCTCAGTGCGGGGCTCAGCCCCGATCGGTGCTTATTGCCTCCAGAAAACGCTCCTGCAGGGGAACTTCCGGGGGGATGAGGGCTGCGCAGAGCTTTGGGGCTGACAGCGGAGCGCTGCTGCTACTCGTATCGCCGTGTCCGTCCAGGAGGAGGATCGGCTCCGGGGTGGTGGTCCCGGTCGTGTCTCCGCGACCCTGGCAACCCGCAGCGAGCGGCTGAGCGGAGCGCAGTGCTGTGCCACCCCCGAGCGGGACGGGCGGCCCACGGTGCCAGGCAAGAAAGCGTGTCCAGCCATCGTTCCTTTGCAGCTTTTATTAAAAATATAAATATTAAACATTCTCTTACACAACAAAATCGACCGAGCGCTGAAAAGATGTTTTATTGTGAAAATGTTGTACAGGGTAAAAGTGGACTCGAAGTAGCGGACAGAGGTTCCCCTCCCGCCTCCCTCCCCGGCACGGCGCTCCCCGTGCTCCCCGCCGCCCCCGGCCGTCCCTGCGGAGCCCTCTCGCTATGGGAAATGGAGAAATAAATAAGGGTCGGGGGGGGGGGGGCCCGGTGGCACCGCGCGTCCGCGCATGCTGAGGGGGGGGCGGCGGCTCGGAGCGCGCCCTTCGGGGTTCGAAGCTCTATAAAAATAAAGAGATGACATCAGAGCAGCACTATGGTACGTCGGGCGGTGTGATGGCTCTGGTGCTGACCGCGGGGTCCCTTTGGCAAGGCGCGGGGGGGCCGCCTCACTTCCCGATGATTTCCATCAGTTTCCTGTTGCTGTGGGCTTGCTGCGCCAGCTGCTCGGCGCGGGCCATCTCCAGCACTTCCCGCAGCAGGTGGAAAGTCAGGTCCAGGGAGATGGGCGGCTCCTCGGAGCGCTTCTCTCTCTCCACCGCCTCCCCCGCTCCTTCGTCCCCCTCGGGGCTCCCCGACCGCTGCAGTTGCGCCGCGGCCGCCCGCAACAACTCGGCGGATGCTTCGGGCCGGAGGTGGCCGCCGGAGGAGGCGGAGAAAGGGCCGGCGGGGCGCTTGGTGAGGTGGCCCAGGCGCAGGAAGTACTCCTCTCCCATGCGGAGCAGGACGGGCAGAGTTTGCTGCTGCTGCTGCTGCTGCTGCTGCGGGAAGAAATCGGGCTGCTGCAGAGCCCCGCGGGCGGCTCCCGGGCTCTTGCTGAGCGCTCGGCACTCGTGGCAGGGCAGCAGGGCGAGCAGCAGGATCCCTGCGCACACCAGCGGCTGGAGCTTCATGGTCGGGGCCGGACCTGCAGCGGGGCGAACGGGTGGGGGACACGCGCGGGTCACACAGCCGGGCTCGGGCGGGGGGCGCGCAGCGCGGCCGCTGTCCCGGTGCTGAAACGCGGCCCCGGCGCACCCCGAGCCCCTCCGCGCCGCTCCGCGCCCCTCCGCGCCCGCCCGC